CAAATTGCAAATGGTCGTTTGTGCCAAATGGTTGCGTGCGTCTATACTTGAGCCAAAGCAAAAATGACCGCCACAGCCAACACAACACGGAGGCCCACCGAAGTGGTGGTGTCTTGTCGCTCTTCTCCAAACTCACGACTGGCTGTGACGATCTGGAATATCTGGCTCACCTTCATGTGCCAGACATATAAATAGTTGTACGTGCGCACTAAGATAGAACACCAGACTACAACTTTTTTACCTTCAAGTTGTGCCAATCGGAAGTTCAAGTTGTGCAGCAAATAGAAAAATCATCTCTGAAATTCAATTTATTCGTTTAAACGGTATCAAGTACCGACCTGCATGTCCTCCAAGTTGCTGTCACAATGACTCGAAAGTCAGTGGCCACAATGGAGGCCATCTCCTCCAGCGTCATGTCCGGCGTCACGGAGACGGCCTCCAAGATGCGCTCGACATGGTGTTCGTAAATCTTTTGGTGGCGCTTGCCACCCCATTGCGCTCTGTCCGGTGCCCATTCCTCTCGCTTACGAGCAGTTGTTATCCAGTTTGAGGCGGTGCACTCGTTGACACCGAACATTCGGGCTAGGAGCTTCCAGTCCTCATGGGCTATGGCTGCTGCAAGGATGATCTTGCGCACGCTGAGTCTGTCGACGTCACGGGGCTGCATTGCGTTTGCCAAGTGACTTGGACTGCCTTTTTACTATTCACATTCTATATCTGATTCAGGATAAAGTTTCAAGGCTTGCACAACTTGAACTTCCGATTGGCAAAACTTGAAGGTAAAAGTTGTATATTCACAATATGTACGCCATATTCGATGAGTTCCGAGTCACAATCGCGAGCCATATTGTCGAAACAACATTTCGTGAATCATGAACTGACGCCCCCGCCAACTTTACGCCTTGCTTTTGCTCATTGCCCAGCGTATTGGACCACCCTTGGCGTCCTAGACTACAACCCATGCCCCCACACGAGCACCTGCCCCCACACCACTCACCCCGAAACCTCATCGTGACTTGAACCCGCAAATTCACCAAACTCGTCGATTTCAACTCTCTTGGACCCCATTGTGCACCCACTCTTCACAGCATCCAGATCGTCCAACGCCGCCATACAACACTGTCTGTAGCACATTATCAACCCGACATTTCGTCTCCTACCACCCAAACTCCATAACTGGTGGCGTGTCCTGGTCAGCATGCTGCCTGTTTGCCAGCAATTTCACTTGACCGGTCGTTTTGCGTTGTGCATCGCCCGGATGCCGTTCCGTTGAAACAATCCAGCATGTCTTGCTCGAATGTCGCAATGTTCGTGCCCTCTGAGGCATCCTGCGCGAGGAACCATTTGGTGCGTGATATTTCCTGTTGTTCCATCGCCAATAGCGAACCCAACACAATATCCTTCTGTCTTTGCACCATCGCTAACTGCAATACCACGCACGCGTCATAGCTGTTGACACAGAGCAGCTACTATGGGAAGATATGGATTTTTGAACAGCCGTATCGACAGACCAATCCATATGTCCTTCCTGCCTTGCCCAGCAAACCTCCCGCGCGGGTAGGGCATTGTGATGTCTCTAACACAGGGGAAAGCAGACAGTGCATCAAAGTGTACAGTAAGCACGTGCATTACCCACCGGCACAACCGAATTACGCCGACCAGGAACAATTGGCCGCGCTGCAGCAGTCGAACATGGGCCCGCAACTTCAAGCCAAAACCGTACCAGTTAGATTTGTTGTCATGTACGTGCCCTCTGAAGTATCCGACGGGAA